TTTTGTAAACAATTATGTCTTCTTATATAAGATTAAATAAACACGATAATTACAGCCTGATTAGGTGAAAAAAAAAAAATAAATAAAATAAGTAAAAAAATGAAAAAAAAATGAAATAACAACAACCAATCATCAAATCTGATTTATATTATTCTAATTTTTTAAAAAACTATTTTTAAAATAATAATAATAACACACTTGTGCTCATAAAGTATATCCCACTGTTCCAACTTTTTTTATTTTTGAATTTATTTTATTCTATACTGTATGTCAACAATTCTATTCAAAACATAATGGAATATTTTTTAATATAAATTATTTTATTTATGAATAAGGGACGAATATATATATATATGCATATATATGCATTAAATACGTTATTTTATTTTATTTTTTTTTAAATACATTATTTATTTATTTTTTTAAATACGTTATTTATTTTATTTTATTTTATTTTATTTTTTACTTATGTTTGATATCCTTTTTTCTCAAGAAAACGATATACAGCACATACAGTTGATGTATTTTTTTTTATTAAATTTCCTGCTTACAGTACAGTACAACACAACACAACAAACACAGCACAGCACAGTGGGATGACACAATACCAATCCATGCTCATTTTATCCACTTCTGCATGAACTAATAATATTACCTAATTCCAGTGGATAATGAAAAAAGGTGTGTTGTTATTGTGCTCTTATCAGAAAAGATAAAATTAACTTGTTCTAGATCTTGATTAAGCATTCCGGGAAATATGTACTGCGTGTTATTACCGACCGTCGTATCATTATTATATCGTTATCATGAAAATTTCTGCCAAGGTTATATAACCATTCGTTCATTTACAGCGTACATTATGATATGTATGTACATATTATTATTATTATTATTATTATCGCTCAATAAAAAAAAAAAGAAAAGAAAAAAAAAATCTTGTTATTTTCGGGTTAAGATATTTGGCAAACCCTTTTTTTTTTTTTTTGAAAAGATTAGGAATGATAGATTATCAGGATGTTGTAAAGCCCGCTGACATAATTTATAATATTCGCTCGAGTTACGGCGCGGACGACAAAAGGCATTCAATCAAAGGGCTTGTATAAGTGACGCATTGAAGGAAATGGAGAAACATAACATAATTTTTAGATCTATGACATCCAAAACCAGGGACAAACACGTTGCATTAGTGCAATTGTCGGACGTGTTACATGCAATCTTTATCCTTCAGGGGTACCATTAGCAAGGAAACACCGGATGTTTGCTTGTTTTTTGACGTTACACAACTTTGGCCTGTTTCAAAGAAATACATCACCTCATTCATATAATAATTCTGCGTCATGGTCAATCGGGGTAATAACCATAAAGTCAAATTCTCACGTGGGAAAGGGTCACGTGAAAGATAAAGACATTTTTATTTTTAACCTAATTCATCCTCAAAACAAAACCATGATCGTATGTACTTAATAAAGCCATTGACTTGTTTCACCTGAAAGGTTCAAAAGGAGATAGGAAAAAAAATTCGCACCAAAATTCACATGTAATACAAAGAATCAAGCGCATACAATCTTCATCAATAACGCATCGTTTTTGTCAAGAACGCATCGTTACTTTAATTTTCCTTTCTTTTTTTTTTTCTTGGGGGCGCAAACACATAATCTCGTCACCATATTGTCGCGTATTTTTTAACGACTACAAGCTCGCCTTACCATATAAGCTTAAATTGATAAAAATCCCCATGCGTACATTAATATTTATTTTTCTTGTAATATGCGCTTCGTGTTCCAATTATGTCAGAAGTCGCATATTTTTCTTTGTCCCTACGGAATCATTTACACAACTTCGTATATTAAATAACAATTTGTTTAACTCGTGAACAACGTACCGATCTCTTGCCCCGACTCATGAACGCCTTATCCATAACAAATTTCAATTCCTGTATGATTTGCAGGTTTACATTAGCTTTAGGTCTCACGGACAAGTGGATTTTTTCTTTAAAGAAAATTGTTTCTCTTTAAAGCCCGACTAAAAATAGTAAATGGGAAGTTGAAATATTACTGGATCTTTTTAATCGCGAGACATTTCCTCGATAACTAGAATCATTAGTTGACCTTTAGGGGAGGAACCGAACCGGATCCGCCCGCGTACGCATGAATTCGCAAGCTCTCTCACTTTTTTTAAAAAAAAAACTGGAGATCCCACGTAAACGTTTCGTAGCGTACAAACTTCACAACCCACACAATTTCCTTACCGGATTTGGACAACAAGTTTATAATTTGAAAGTTCTCGCCATTATGATAATCTGCTCGGTTTGCACCCATTGCATCACTGCATGAACGAACAGCATCTTACGATCGCATGACTCATTTCGACTTATTGGATTTGAGGAAAAAAAAACGTTATACGTTTTTTTGAAGATTTGCTGTGATTAGGAGTGTGAACCCGTGTGAGCACATCTTGCATGCCCGAAATTCAAAACCGATAGATCCCAACCCATCAGACGTCGAGATCATCGTCTTCCTGAACGCCTTACATCAACGGCCAGACAGTTGCTCGCGAACGTTTCCTGCGCGCTAGCTAAAAAGAGATGCGTAGCCCTTTCATCCTAAAAAAAAAAATCTCGCATGGTCACGTGATTAGACGGGACGTCAATAAATGGTGGCTCTAACCTGAATAATCCATAAGAGGCTTAATAAAAACAGCCAAGGATACCCCCCAATGCATGTTAATAGAAATACGTATTGTCATTTATCCATTCATAATATTCATTTATAGGAGTTATCCGCCCCAAACCGCATCGATCTGCTAATAAAAAATTCACAATGTTGAACTTGTCTTTGTATTAATTTGTCGGTGCACCTTTTGCAAATGAACTTTTTTTTTTTATTAACCCATCAACTTGACGAATGATTACCGATATTCCTTAGTGATCTTAGTTTATTTTATTTTATTTTATTTTATTCGTTTCTTCTTTAATACAGGTTTTAGATGATGATTTAGGAAGGTCGGTTATCTAATAAATTACTATGCACGGGAATATTACATCTTACCCTGCGCCACCTATGCAGGATTTTTGGGTAGTTTTAGACTCTTTTCATTAGCCATTGGCGATTTTGGGGATCGTGCTACATTTGTTAATAATTTTTTACACTATGAACTATCAACATAATCGACCATAAATGATTTGTTATACGTCAAATCCAATTTGTGCTTTATTAATGCCAATTATAATATTCGCGCTATTTCACTTTTGCATTGTTGACAACAATTGCAAATCTTTGCTACCATCAACAATGATTTAGAATTGAATGAATGTCTTCCAATCAACACCCCATCAACAATATCTTGCTCACTTTGATAACGTGTGCGCAGGCACGACGTAATACCTTCTTTTTTATTTTAGTTGCATCTTTGTGCGAGCATATGCAAACTGGTATGCACTATATCGAAAGATCTAAAATATGTGCGTGCGCACTACACACTCACCTGCGCACGTAGAAACGCCGAGAAAAATAAACAAGTATGGGACGTAAAACGTTTTTTAAAAATGGATTCAGGCATAAATTAAACATCAAACGCTTTTGAAATCGACACCGAATGGTTTTGAGATAGTGAAAAATGAACGTCCCTTGCTTTTTCTTTTTTTTTTTTTCCCTCAATCGTTATCGCCACTTTGATTCGTTCGTTTATTTATTTTTTTATTATGTGTATAGTGAAAAAAGTATGTACTGTACGTATAGAATGTATGTATGTGTCTGTGTGTTGTGTATGTCTATTTTCATCACACATTACGAAATGAACAAATGAATATCGAATCAAACACATAACATGTTTAGTTAATTCCACGGAGCAAACGTGGAGAGGGCTAATTTGAAAGAGAAAGGTGTCTAATCGAAGAGAAGAAGGGAAAATCAAAGAAAAAAAAGGGTAGGCAACCCAAATGAGGAATAAAAAAATGATAAGAATGTTTATTTATAGAACCGGTTGGGCAAAAAAAAAAAATAGATAGATTTCCTGACCTAACCGTATTTGAACGGCATCACAAAGACACCGATTGAAAAAAAAAAAAAGATACATGAAGACTCACTCAGAAAAAGATTGATTATATGAAAGGAGTTCAATTGAGAATTCTCTTTGGAAATCCATAAATGTTGTGAGGAGATTTACTGATGTATTGAGTGATGCAGGGAGGAGAAAGGTGTCGTGTAAATGAATCAAGAAGATGGCAGTTACAATGAGAATTTCTTAAATAATAAAGAAATTGACTTAATAAAGAAGGCGAACAGTTATTACAATAGGATGAACAAACAGTTATATGTACGAGCAATTGCAATTGTACGAACAGTTATCGGTCGCTCAATCAACAATATCATTCAATGGATCAATCAATTGGAGAAAGGACGGTGGTCCCTTCCTAATCATCAATTCACCACTACCTTTTTGCATTGAATCGCTGAATCAAGGGCCCCCTTTAGAAAAAAAAGAAAATATATATGCGTGCATTCACTTATCGCAATAACTGATACTGTAATCAACAATCTGTTCACCACCACCACGGCCCGCAAACTCCAATAAGAAAAAGAAGAAAAAAAAAAAAAAAAAACTCCCCGTGAAATGCCCGGTTGGGAAATTTCTTGACAGCAGATCGTTCATTTCGTTGTTTTTTACTGTATCCTGTATAGAATCGGTCTCAGGCGGATCGTGCAAACAAAAGGTCCTGACATGCAAAATAAAAAAAGTTAACCTGCAATTTATCTTACTGCTCCTTCAAAAAAAATATGTAGTATACTGTATATATATGTATGTATGTATATAATAAATAATAATAATAATGATAATGAAAATGATAATAATAGTTAACTGTAATGGTAAAATAGCAAAGATAAATAAATAAATAAATATAATAATAATAATCCGAGATACTGTAAATTTTCTTTGTTTCGAGTTTAATTAAAAGTGTGTAATAGCTTAACTGAATAAAGCTCCGCCCACCAACCTAAATCTCGTTAAGGTCCTACGATTCGAACAACAGCTCTTTTCTGTTCACGGTTCTGTCTGTTCCCTGTTTTCGCACGTTTCAATCGGCCCGTCCCGTCCTGGCGCCCTGCTACTGCACGTACAGTTTCTGTCTTTAAATGACGTCTAGATTCTTTTTGCCAATTCTTTTTTTTTTTTTCCCTTCCTTGACGATTTAGATTTTTTCTACTTTCGTTTTTCTTCTCTACTCTCCAAGCAACTCTACACTTCCGTGGTTCAATTATATTTTTGCTTTACAGGGACATTTTTCATTTGCATCAAGAAGATAAAATTTTTCTCCCTCTACCCAGAAACTTCTTCCATTTCACACACACAAATCTCACTTCACAATCTAAGAACCAGACGACCTTACTCACAACAAGAAGATCCATCTCTGAAATTTTTGGACGTGAACCTTTCTCCAATTGAGACAATGTCCATAAACAATATGAACTTCTGCACCCCAATGGCGATGAGCACGGTCGGCACATTTGACCGAAGAAACGATCCTTCTTTCGTCCAAAGTTTATCGCGACCCGCAAACTCTTCTCGCAGGACTGGTCCTTGGGAACCTCATGTTGGCATTATTTTTATCTCTTCTCTTTTCTATTTCTCTTACAATTCAAAAAAAAAACTTAACGAATTGAATCTTTTAGGAGGACGAAAGACTGTTGGCAATTGTCTCAGAGTTAGGAGTTAAACATTGGAAACTGATCGGCATCAGGCACGGCTTAAGGGATGGGAAGCAATGTCGCGAAAGGTAAATTTTTCATTTCTCACAGATCAAAACCTTTCACACCAGTTTCTCACGATCTCTCATTTGATAGATGGCACAATCACCTCAACCCTGACCGTAAGTATTGTATATCAAAGCTCCTTTTCTTTCTTTCTTTCTTTACTTTCAAAAAATACTTTGACCCTAATGAAATTTCGATGTTTCTCAAACAATCAAGTGAAATATGGTCCGCTCACCGCTGAAGAAGACTTGAAAATAATCGAATACCACTCCAAGATGGGCACAAAATGGGCGGTGATGAGTCAAATGTTGAATAGACCAGCCAATTTAATAAAAAACAGGTTTTATTCTTCTTTGTCAAAGAAGCGCGATTTCTCGCAGGTTGAAAATAATGACGGCGAAAACGAGCGATCGTCATCTCCCATTTCTAGTTCCGGCGCTCCGATATCATCGATGATAAATTCTCCGATATTGTCACAATTGAATGCTCTCTCTTCATCCGAACTTTCAAACTCGGACTCCTGCACCTTTGCGAGTCCCCCCAAAAGGATTAAGTTCTACCATGAAAATAGTCCAAATCCGGACGTGCCCAAATCCAAATATGGTAAATTTTCATTGTCTCGCATTTTTGGAAATGTTGTATTCAAAAAAATATCCACTTTCTCAACTTTTTTCTTTTTTTCTTTGCACGTCCTATCCCTCTTTAGAACTCATCTCCAAACGAAAGAGGCAATTCAAATCTGCCACACAAGAAAATTGTACCACCACCACCACCAACACGTCGGGAAATTCCGTAGAAATGTGGATACGCCAAGAACAGATGTATCGCGCGCACATAAATTCGTGGCACGATTTACAAACCCCTGCAACAAGTCCAGGGCTCAACGAGGTGAACAAGTTGAACGAATTTTCTTGTCCAGAATGTCAACAATATTACTCCAACCGACAGTGTCATCATGATAACAATCGTCACCAACGTCATCACGAGGATAGCTACTTTAATAATGGGTGCTCACACCGTCGGGAAAATCGCTTCGCCGACGAATGTCATAATCACCATCGCAGCCCGCAACAATATCAAAGTCGGCGGCATCTCGAGAACCCCTATGACAAGTACCAACGACAGCAGAACCATCACTGCCACATGTGTACAAATGACGATTCAATTCCGACCCCGACCTACACTCCAATATCATCTCCCAGACCCATCAGGCACCATTACCGTTCAAGTGCATTGGAGCAACTGGCGGACTTGGCCATAATGAATTCATGGTATGTAATCAATCTTGACTTTGGTTCCTTTAACCAAAATTTTCCAACCTCATATTCACCCAATTTCAATGTCGTGTAGTGACTGTCGAACGCACAAAGATCGAAATAATATAATGTCAATATCCGCGGTATTGAATTGAACCATTATATTGCGATAAAAAGAAAAAAGGACTCTTTATTTCTCGCATCTCCGAGACTTTACGCATTCAATTGTCACGTGAAAATTTCGAATCAGATAGTACACACTCGTACCCACTGCCAAAAATGAATACAATATTTTCTCTTAAAACAGGCACAGCCTATCAAGGTTCTTTCCAACATTTGAGATGTTTGGAAATGCCCTTCCGATCGATCAAAAAGCTAACCATAACATTTGAGATGTTTAAAGTGCACCACCCCTCGTGTCTGAACCGGTTTCACCGCGTCGTGTCTACCACCCGCCTTTTTTTTTCTTTTTAATCACAAGATTTGCGTTCTAAAGAAATTGGCCACGATTTTGATTTGGAACTTATATTAAAGACGAGATGTTCATCAAATGTTTTTGCAAGGTCGGTTTGAGCACTGACCAGAAGCAATTGAATATATTTTTTGTGCTTCATTTTTATTATATTTTCATATTAAGAACATCTAGACATTCTGAAATGCGTAAAATATATACAGTGTATATGTACAGTAAATAGATATATAAATGCTCTTGTAAATTTGTGTGAACAAACGTTTGTTGAAAAGTTTATTTGTGCCTGAGCAATCTTTCGTTGTCTATCAGAAAACAATGTACAGTAAATCAAATGACTTTGCCGCATTGTCAACGCTGCTGCTACTGCTGCTGTTGCGGTACCTGCTAAGACGTTAGATAATGAATAGGTGAAGGAAGGAGTAACTTGAATTACCTCCAAACGTTCTTCTTGACGAACTTCTTTAAAATAATGATAATAATAAAGGAAACCTGATTTGTTGGTTCGCCATTCAATCTATCGTGGGAAAATTTTCGGGTTGCCTCAATAGATTAATTCTACGATGGCATGAAAATGAACTGTACTACTCTTTATTGGTTTCTCATTTACGAAAGAAAAAAGGTTTAAGGCTCCTCGGCCTTATGACATTTGACCGAACCGATAGAGTTGATTCATCGCGTCTCGCAAAGGAAATATGGTTTGTCCGTTGGTAATGGTAACGTAATTGATGTGCAATTCCATTGACATGTTGAGTAGAGCACCACCGCAGATCTTCCCTGCTGCGCCGAGGTCAGAAGGATGACACGTGGATGGAGAAAGAAGTGACGTACTACCGAAAAACAAGAATTTACGTGTTGATGTTTCAGCATCGTCAGCAATTGGTTCTAGAAACCTTAATATCCGCAATTCCGGTAGATAGTAAATGATTACGTGAGACTGTCCACTCGTGTACCTGATTCGGTTTCGATTTAATCGAAAGAAGGTTAACCCACGTTGGCATTTATTCAAATCAAGTTAAGCCATTGATTGGTACGTATGCTTAGCTTAAACCCCGGAATTTCCCTCACTTGTCTTTATTGTCATAGTAACTCGATGACAATTTTTAAATGAAATCAAGCTAAACCCGTTAATGTCAACCACGCGCGATTTTTTAAACAACCATTACATCAATTTTTTCTGCCTACTCCAATGGAATCACGAATATTGGTGCTACCGAATGGTTTAGTCCGAATAAAGATTCAACTGTAGAAATTAATATACGTAACATTGGGAAATTATTAAGTTTTTTGCGTATCATTGAATAAAAATGTTAATGATATTTGTAATCTCTATTAGGGATTATTAATCTCTTCGACCATATACGGTAAATTCCTTTTATGATCCACACCATTTTCCCGAAGTTTAATTTTCTTCCATGGCACAAAAATTAAAATGATGGTAAAAAAAAAAATTCAAAAAAAAAAATATATTAATAGTAATATGTGTTGCGTAGGTTGTGGTGACGTTATACGTACAGCACAGAGAATTTCTAAATTTATATATTGTGCGGCATACAGTATGTGGTATTATTAATGGTTTTTACATTCAAATAGCAAAAAATGATTATAAATAAAAATTACGATCGTATTCAAGCACGGTATGACAAAAAAACTCGCTTCGATTGTTGCTTAGAAATTGGGATTGTGGTTTGTCTTTGCGGATATGCTTAGTAAAAGACAATTGCCAAGAACGGGCGATTAACCATATCGGCCATTGATATCGTTCCGTTTTTCTTTTTCTCGGTAGAAATTACAGTATATTGTCATATTCGTTAAGATCTACAGTATAGACTTAATACGTTATACTGAATACTGGTAAACACTGTAATTGTCAGTCACTATACAGTAATATCAGTTCTTTATTAATTTTATTTTTTTAAAAAAAAAAATAGTAAATCAAATAAATAGATGAATTAAAATTATTTATTAAAAATTTATTAAAACCGAAAATACATTTGGTTTTTTAATTAATTCTTATAAAATATACAGTACATTTTAATATACCGTCATGCTGTCTAAAGTAAAATTCAGATTCCAACCATCAATAATGGAATTTTTCATGATTATTTTATTATTATTTGTTTTTTTCTCTTTTAATGCAAATTCTGTTTCACTTTTTTTTTTAAAAAAAAAATATATATTGATCTGTAAATTACAGTATTTTCTATACGTGTGTTAAACAAAATATCATTTTATAATCTGATAAAAATCTATAATTACTCATTTTTAAATTTTATTTTCAAATTTCAAATTTCAAAAATTTTTTATTGGTCTTTAAAAGGAATCACCCATATACAAAATCGATGAAATGATATCTAATAAGGAATATCCTTATGAATTTTAAATCGACATTTTTTGTTACATATAATATTCAGTAGGAATTCAAGTTACGGGAATCAAATATGCAATCGTTCGATTCTGGCATTGTTCCAAATGTAATGACGAATCTTCACCACCCAAATGGTGCACGTCATGTAGTAGAATTCACTTTCATCAAGACTTTAAAAAATGGCCTAGTGGAAACAAAAGAATTGACGAATTTATACAAAAGTCTCGGCTTCAAGCTATAAATAGCAGCATGGTATTAGAATGAATACCGTATACACAATTTCAAGATGTCATATACAGTATATCGCTAATGGAGGAAATGACCCATTATGTTATATGATAGTTTTGGATCATCAAGATCATCAAGAAAATGGCAGTCTCAGGAATTACTTGGACAAAATTTTTACGAGATGAATTTAAACTTAAAATTGAAGTCGTTACAAAGTATTTTATTCGGTTTAAGTAGTATGCACGAAAATAAACTAGTTCATAGAGACTTTCATCCTGGAAATCTTTTATATGATAGCCTACTAGATCTGAATATCGCAGATCTAGGTATTTGTAAATTTTTTAATGAAAACTCAACACGTAAAGAAATTTATGGGGTTCTTCCATACATTTCACCCGAAGTCTTGTGTGGTCATGCTTACACACCGGCAGCAGATATTTATGAAATGATCACAGGATTCCTCTATACTATAATATTCCTCATGATCAAGATCTTGCAGTACAAAAATTCCATTCAAGACGAATAAATTTTTAGATTAATTAATAATGCAATGTTGGGATGCGAGGCTATCGAATCGACCTGGTGCTTATAACGTATGGGAAACTACAGTATTAAGAATTGGATTGAATTGATCGACAGTGATAAACCTTTGGATTAAGCTAAAGATTACGAAAGTTACTGATTCTACACTTCAGTATAAACTTTAATAGCCATCTAAATTACGTAAACTACAGTATAATTATTATTAAAAGTTTAATCATTTTTGTCTTCTACTAGAAAATCCTATTATAACTGATCCCTGGGTTTTCACAATTCACACTTAACAAGTTACAAGTACTAGACACAGTAAGAGTTTATACTCAATTGCTTATTTATTTATTAAAACACGAATATTAATCTTCTGTCTAAATGTTTTGCTACTCTATACTATTTTATAATTTTCACCTTGGTTTCGCTCATTGGCTCATTGATCGCACATTTGCTTCCTACCTTATCCCACAATGTTCCCCGACTTATTTTATATACTCCATGTATAAGTTTAAACCAATACTTTTATTTATGTTCGAATTACTTGGTGGCGGCGGTGTGTCGGTTGGTGGAATTTCTTCTGATGGTTTATTGAAAAAGTCATGTGATAACGGAGAGTTACTAATATATGTTTTGGTTTCTCTATTATAGGAGTTACAGATTCACCTTTTCATGTGAACTAGTCTATGGATCTGGGTTGCATTGATTAAGTAATAATATTATTAATTTCAGGCTATGTGTCAGATCTCTCGCATTCGTTTGGCGTCACACTCTTTTTTAATCTTTGATTTTTCCAAATGGATCATCATAAGACAAAAACTCCGGGCTCATGAGATTGGATAAGATCCCACTCTAAACCCATTTTATTGACTTAAATACAATACGAAGGGCTAGTTTAACGAAAATATTTTCGGACAAGTTATTACAAATTTCCTGATAAGCTCACAAGCGAATGCAATTATCAGTTATTGACAAAAATAGTCATTTTACATGCCTTAAATGTCCTTGATCAGTTTATACATTAACATCCACTCCTTTATTAACATCCCTCCTGCTATTCGTTAATACTAATCTCTAATTCTTTCTTTTCTTGCTCCTTTTAGACCTCTACCATGTGGTATTGGCTTTCTCTTCGTCGAGATAGGACTCATATAATCCGGTTGTGTTTCTTCTTGCTTGTCATCGGTGACTTCTCTATTGATGAGATGATATCTTGTTTCTCTATTACTGTTTGTTCCCTTTAATGACTTGGTCTAATCTCATGATTTCTCCCTTAGATTTCCTTAGACATTTCCCTTTACTCTCTACCAGTGCATCGGCATTCCATCTGAATGAGATATCTAGTTGAATGGCAAGAATTGAATCTGTTGATGGTTCTTGGCGATATAGCATTCATCCTTATTTGGCTTTTCTTCATATAGAATCCCACTTTGCAAACAATCTTTGTCATCATCACAAGGTCATCATTTCCGCAGACCTAAATATATTTAGAAATAATATATGTTGAGTAAGAAATGCAAAATTAGATTATCTATAAAGTAAAAACAGAAGCAGTCACGTGTGTGTGTGTGTGCCTCAATGCGATCTGATTGGTCGGTTAAGTTACTATTCGGTCGGGTGACTCTCAACTGTATTATTACTATTCATTATTAAGATCGAACTTACTTAATGCCCACCAATATTTCGTTATCTGATCCATTTGTTATTGGGAGAGAATCAGCGCTAATGGTCTTGCTTACTAAGTATTGTTTTGTCGATCTTCTTTAAAAAGTGTAGGTTTTCGCAGGCATA